GCCGACAGCTAAAATCCCGAAGGCGAAAATCCCGACAAATGAATTCCCGGAGATGAAGGTCAAGAAGGCGAAAATCCCGACAACCCGAAATGCCGGAGCGCAAATCCCGAAAAATCTCGACAGGCGAAATCCCGACACGCGAAAATCCCGACATGTTAAATTTCCAACGCCAAAATCCCGACAATTCAAAATGCCGATAGCCACAATCCCCGACAGATCTAAACCGGATAGTCTAAAATCCCGACAGCGAAAGGCCGGAAAAGAAAATCCCGGAAGCCCTAAATCTCGGCAGCCACAATCCCGACCTCCAAAAAAATGCCGACAGCCATTATCACGTCTGCCAAAATCCCCGAATTTACTTGATTGAATGTCCCTTCTTTTTGAACAGCTATCTTCCATGTCAGAATTTTGCCATTTCCACGTGGTTTGAGCACGGCAGGCTAGCCGAGATCGTTTAGGAACACCTCGTATTACCATCATTTTTGGGGTGTGTATTTTCTATCTTCTTTCATTCTATCCCTCTCCGGCTTACAGTAATTTTAATGAGACACACAACGCAACGTTTCTACCTTGTAAGCAATTCTAATAAAAGCCATTTGAAGCCGACGTCATGCTCCCCCATACCTACCTCTCCTCTACCTGTTATTCACACCCGATTTTGAGTCGCCTCCCCCCAAAAAACCTATCGATTTTGGGACCCCGGAATTAGGGTGAGCACATGATTCCGTGTGGGGTGGGCCTCTAGGTGAGGCCCACCAGCACCCCGCGACAATCACCATAATTTCCGTCCCCCAGGGAGGCCCAGTAGGAGGGCTGTCTTTTGGAGTGTCGCGTACAATTAGTGACCCATGACTGCGATATACTTTGTTATTATCGGCTTTCCTCAACAATCTCTGCTAGCCTGCCCTCTCCTCTTCCTCAACAATCTCTGCTAGCCTGCTCTCTCCTCTTCCTCAACAATCTCTGCTAGCCTGCTTTCTCCTCTTCCTCAACAATCTCTGCTAGCCTGCTCTCTCCTCTTCCTCAACAATCTCTGCTAGCCTAACATCCGTTTCATCAGTTTTTAAGTGAAATCTATCTCACTATGTCTCTCTCCCTCACGCTCTCTCTATCGCTTTGTAAATAATCTCTGCTAGCCCTCCTCCAAAACTTTTGGCATCTTTTTTATTGTTTATATTTTACTTCCGCTTTGGGACTTTGTCTGGTGGCGACGTACTGAAATTTCAACGCTTTGAATCTCGCCATTCCGTAACAAGTCCGCTTTTTCAGGCTTCTCACCTCGTCCTCCCTGATCTTCGACCAGGATATGACGAAGCGCGTGGATTCAGGCTGATCTTCCCAGAAACGCAGCTCGAGATTTCCTAGACAGGTTGGGCCATCCCTATTCTTCATTGTCTAGATGGAATAGAGAGAGAGAGAGAGAGAGAGAGAGATAGAGAGAGAGAGAGAGAGAGAGAGAGAGAGAGAGTGTCCAGATCTTTCCACCCATTGTATCCGCAATCCTGCCGTTCCTCCGCTGCATAACAATACAAGTCGTGAAATCATAGCCCCCGCAAAAAGCAGCGTAGCGGATTAGGCGGGGATAGTCAGGAGGAAGAAATGGAGATGCGCGAGAATAATAGGCGCGGGAATTGAGTAATATTGAGTTCCGTTTTTTTTTAATTTGGTCGGATTTTTAATGGTTTAAAGGGAACGTGGCAGCGTATTTTTTCGGAATGCTTCAATATTGAATTTACCCCAACCAGCCTGAAAAATATGCTGATCTGCTCTCTCTATATCTCTCTCTATCTCTTAAGACGTCTTTTTCAGATGGAAACCAGAGATTTCGTCCCATCGCTCGGCATCACTGAGCGCCAAGTCTGCGCGTACGCGACAATTTCAGCCGTAGTGCTGCTGCTCCCCCAGGCTCATTTTGTATGGGTAAGTTAGACTCCAGGCAAGCTAGCAGAGATTATTGATGAACCGAAAATCAAGCTTTTTTAGCAACAAGCCGTGCTCCTCCTCGTCCGCTCAAACCGCAGCTATGACCTGCTGCTGCTACTCCTCGGCTGTTTCGGCTTCATCCAGTTGATTCTCCACAGCATCGGGCTCGTCGTGTCGCTGACTAGCGATGTATTGGCTGATTGGATGCTGGTAGGCTACCAGAGATTGTCGAGGAACAGGGGAGAGATTTATTTTTCAGGCTTTCTCAAGCGTGATGCTCGCAACATGGTTCGGCACCCTCCTCCTCCTCCCCATACTCATGCTCCAGCGCTTCGTCGCCGCCGTTACGAAGCGAGCCCTCAGATTCATGCTCCAATTTGTTTTTGGGGTAGGCTCACTTCCCTGCCCCTTGAAAATCACCTCTCAGCTTCTCGGCCTCGGCGTGTTGATCCTCGTTGCGCTGGGCGTTATTTTCCTACTGACGGCCAGAAGTACGCAATATATTGCATACAGCTTTTCATGGTATATCAACACTGACAGCGCGTTTAGGTGAGTTCTTTTTCGGTCCTCTCTCATTCTCACTCTCTCACTCTCTCTCTCTCTCTCTCTCTCTCTCTCTCTCTCACTATCTCTCTCTCCCTCTCTCTCTCTCGGTCATGCTTTATCTCTCTCAATTACTTACGTTTTAGACCTATCAACCGTTATCTCAGCTACATTTCGGCGGGCTCCGTCATTATCAGCTCAATTCTGCTCATCACCTCATATCCGGTGTGCTCGGTAGGTTGGGCTTAGCCTTAGGCATAGGCATAGGCTTAACCTTAGGCTTAGCTTTATGCTACTGTTATAATCCCCTTTCCAGACGCGCTTCGAACGGCACACAAAGGAGTTCCAGCGAACACTCTGGGTGGGTTTTTGTCATTTTTTACCAAAACTTTGAGATGAACTTTAAATTCTGAATTCCAGCTCCTTCCCCCAGCCCTATTGATCTCAATATTTCTCCTCTTCTGCCAGCTGATCCTTCCCTATTGGACCGGCGGGAATGGCGGCACCATTTTGACCCATTTCCTCTTCATCCTCTGCAGTGCCAGCTTTGGCCTCACGAATTTGCATCGGTGGGTTTTTGAGCCGGCGGCTGCTAGCAGAGATCATTTGGGTACGGGCGGGCAGTGATCAGTGAAGAAAAACGATAGCGTTGCAATGCCGCCATTTAAAATTCTATCGGTAAAAATGTCGACAGCTCAAATCCCCAACTAAAGCGGGCTGCTAGGCAATTTGAATTTCACAGACTTTTTCTTAGGCTTGGGCTTAGGCTCAGGCTTAGACTTGCTTAGGCTTGGCTTTGGCATAGGCTTAGGCATTTTACCTTTCCACTTCTTATTGTCGGTATTTCGCCCAACTTCCCCGTTCAGGCTATTCACCGGCAAGCCGAAGCCGCTGCTCTCCGCGCCAGCTCACGTGGTGGCCGACGGCGTGCCCCCCGTCGAGGCTACACCGGTAGTCGTTTCCGGTCAGGTGGGGGCAGTTGCCGTGCAGTCGATCGTCTCGAAAACCGTGCCGTCTCGACCCGTGTCTGCCGTCTCGTCCATCAGCGACACCAACCCCGCGTCATCGTTGTCGCGCCAGCAAAAGAGCTTCTTTAGGTCGCTCACCCAGAAGCTCATCACCAAGCTGTGACCTGAACTAAGGCGTGATTGATTGCTATACCAGACGGAGGATCCGGAAATGCGGAACATTATGTACAAACAACAAAATCTATGAATGATAAAAAGTACCTTTTAGTCGCTGTTTCGCAATTACGGTAGCCTTTTATTAATTTTATGCGTCTAAAAGTCCCCCACACGCCCCCCACCTGGACCACTAGTGTGGACAGGGTCCCACAAGTCTTCCCTTGAGTTGCGCAATAATTGCTCCGGGGCTTAGGCTTAGGCTTAGGCTTAGGCTTAGGCTTAGGCTTAGGCTTAGGCTTAGGCTTAGGCTTAGGCTTAGGATTAGGATTAGGCTTAGGATTAGGCTTAGGATTAGGCTAACAGAGGTCGACCATGGAAATCCGCCATATCGATAGGCTTGGGCTTAGCCTTAGTGGATATTTCGATTTTTGTGGGGGCTTGTAGAGTTTTTCGCGCTCTTTCAAACGCGCTAACCCGCATCTTGCCAAAGTATTCCTAGGCGAAGATATTAACAATCAAAGTTCTGATTGAGACTTTGGCTTAAACTCGGCCACAACATCCTTTAAAAAAAATATGTTTATTTCCATCGCTTAACACTTTTCCTCTTTTTCGCAATTGGCATTCGCGTCGGCCGGCATCGAGCAGATGGCAAAGTGCATCTTGCACGCCTGGTCGTACTTTGTGAAGCGGTCAATTTTTCCGCACTCCGTGCGCCCGTTCACCTGGAATTTGGAGTGTCGTGGAATCGAAAAGAACCGTACCGAAATGCCATCAGCCGCCCAGCCGAAGCCGGTCTTGCACTTGCCGGGCGTGAAGTCGGTCTCCTTCTTGCATTTGCCGTCCCAGGCCATGATTGCTGGAATGGTGAAGCTAGGTTGGGCTTTGGCTTAGGCTCGGGTCTAGGTTTGGGCTTAGGCTAAGCTTTAGGTTTAGGCTTAGGCTTATGCTTAGGCTCAGGCTTAGACTTAGACTTAGACTTAGGCTTACTGTTGACAATTTCCTTCACGACTCCGCTAGAAGTGTCGACCAGCTTGGACTTCTCGTTAAGGCAAACCCTAAAAAAAATCCATATATCCATCCGTATATTCAAAATCCTACGTCTGCGCTTCCGCCCAACTCAGACACTTCTCGCCGCCTTCGAAGACCTAGAGAATGACCAAATCCAGAAAAGATACTTTAAAAATACCTTGTAGCAAGTAAACGTCTGCGGGTTGAAGCGCCACGTCAGGTCGGGGCACCGGTTGGAGTTAATCAGTGAGGAGCTGGACAGGTAGCACTGGAAAGAACAGGGTTGCTTTAAGTTTAGGCTTATGCTTAGGTTTAGATTTCCTCGTAGGACTTACCGGACAAGACGGGTCGATGGTGCAAGTGCCGTCTGAAAAATATCGTAATTCATCCATCGCACTGTACGGTATTGCACTGTGCGGCTTCTTAGTATTGAAAAACCTTACTTTTGTTGTTCGGTGGCAGGGGATATGGTGGCCGCGAAGTAGTAGACGATCCATGTGTAGTCGTCGGCGTCTGGCTTGTCGGAGTCGTGGCTGTCGAGGAGGTGACCGGTGGAACCTTTTTCACTGAAACCAAGTCCTGCACTTCTATTCTTCCTCAACAATCTCTGCTAGCCTGCCCCCTCCTCTTCCTCAACAATCTCTGCTAGTCTGCCCTCTCCACTTCCTCAACAATCTCTGCAAGCCTGCCCTCTCCTCTTCCTCAACAATCTCTGCTAGCCTGCCCCTCTCCTCGTCCTCAACAATCTCTGCTAGCCTGCCCTCTCCTCTTCCTCAACAATCTCTGCTAGTCTGCCCTCTCCACTTCCTCAACAATCTCTGCTAGCCTGCCCTCTCCTCTTCCTCAACAATCTCTGCTAGCCTGCCCTCTCCTCGTCCTCAACAATCTCTGCTAGCCTGCCCTCTCCTCTTCCTCAACAATCTCTGCT